GCTTTGCGCCAGCTGATAAGCATATATATGTGATGGAGTTTAATGGTTTCTCGATTAAATACAAATTCCTGACCATCGGTAAAGGCGGTGGGGATAAATTGAACTTCCAAATTTAAATGTCCTTTAGTTGGCTTGTTGCCAATTTCAAGTGGGAACCAATCACTAACAGGTTTAGAATGGTCTTCACTTCTCATTAAAGTATTAGTATCCAAGACAAAGGTACCAAGGGGTTTGTCCGATACAAAAAGATTTTCGTCAAAGATTTCAAAAGAAATTTTTTCGCCCGAACCATGAACAGAAACAAAATGAACTTCATCCCATTTGGGGGTAACAGTTCCATGACAAACACGAGTACGAACTATTTCAGCTCCGGCAGCATTCATAATGCGGATGTATGGGTCAGGATTAGAAAAGGTAAACCAAAAATCTGATTTTTTGAGATCTTTAGCACTTTTAATACAGATCCTAATTATTCCAACAACTTCATCATTAGGGACTATGAAATCTTGCTGTTCATCGTAATTGTCAGTCATGCCAATTTCTCGACTTTTAATAGACTCATTGAAGGACTCATCTTCTTCTATAGCATCATTCTCAACTTCGAATCTTTTAACAACAAAGTTTCTAGCAGCCTCAAGAAGTTCGTCTCGAACTTTCTCATCTTTCACTTGTTGACAAAGCCAACTATTTGCTTTTTGATATACACTAGCCCACTCACTTCTGTGATCAACTAATACATATCGTATAAACCAAATCAAAATAGCAGTACTCCAAACGTTAGCATCGAATTGAGCAGTTCTTGGTGAGTAGGAAGAGAAATGAGTTTCAATATGTTTCTTAGCTTCTTCAACCGAACTGAAACCCAAAGCTTCAGCCAATTGAGGGGTAAGTTCGAAACAACCAGATTCATTCTGATAAGAGATGAATCGACGAACAATACGGATATCAACATGTTTTCGGGTAATGATTGATTTCTTAGATATGACTGTAGTAATATGAAATGAATATCATAAACATCGATTAATAATCGGTATACAAGGATTTATGTAGGCAATATATATTCTAGTCACATGTAAAATCGATGATGAAACTAATTCCTTGAAATTTTAATTTATCGACTAACATGTGACTCATCCCAATCATTAATAAAAAAATTTTCCTTACCGAGAACTCCCACACTTCGTTGTTGATTCTCGTCTACCCATTGAGTAACTTTAAAGCGTTGAATAACAAATTTGTTTGAATAATTATAAAGACGCTCTTCGACTTCAACATCAGTGACATTTTCACTCAACCAACTTTCAGCTCTGTTATAAATATTCATCCACTCACGACGTTGCTCCCACATTAATACTTTAAGGAAGGATGTGATAAGCACAGTAGCCCAAACTTTGTGATCTAAGTTACGAATTCCGTCATCCTTTTGAACAAAATCAGAAAAGGCTTGAACAAGTTCTTCTTTAGAAGAGTAATTGAATAATCTGGCTAATGCGTCAGTAAGTTCAAAGCATCCATATTGACTTTGATAAGTCATTAAGAGATATAAATGTCGAACTGAAATAGTAGTTGGGCTAATAACCTCCGAATAATTCGAATCAGGAAGCGAAAAAAAGTCAGCGACAAATGATAATTGTCCTCTGTTGACACCTTTATAGGTGAGGTTAGCATCAAGTTTTAATTGCTTTCCTTCGAAAGAACCATTAGGAAGCTCTTTAATGATAGATTTGAGATCAAGAATATAGAATCCCAAAAGT